ATGTGGATCAAACGGTTGCTCTATGGAGAAAAGTATTCAGGTTGGAAAGTAACCTTTGACCACTTTTTCAGATCACTGGGGGGTCGAATTATATTTCTTTGTAATTATGATATAAATAAAATGGACTTGAAGGGTATACCATCTTTTTATAAAGACATGTTGAAGGCATGGCAAGAATTAGATAAATGCAGACACTTTGGAGAAAATAAGAATAATCCGATTATATTTAGCAACAAGTGTATTTGTCTCAGCAATAAAACATTTTTTGATGTCGAACTATTTCAGAAAGGTATACTTCAAGCATCAGATATAATTGTCAGAGGTCATTTAAAACCGATCTTACATTTTTTAAATTTGGGTTTTGAAACTAAAAGCTTGCTTAGAATTCAAAAGATCTTTTCAGCAATTAGAAACGATTGGATACAAAGTGATTTTATGGAAATGGACACTGAAAATTTTGAAATAGAATTGATGATATTTGGACGTTTACAGAAACTATGTGATATAAAATCCAGGCGGTTATATGATTACTTCATTGAAGACCTTCAAAAAGAGTATACATTACATGTTACAGATGGCACCTGTCAATTTGATCTTGGAATGACGGAGTTGAAAGAAACATTCACAAGGATGAAATGTGCAATGCTTTGTAATAAACATAGAGAGTTTCAATACAAACAATTACAAGGGGCTGTATATACGAAAAGAGAGCTCTTTAAATTTGGTTTTGAGTCAGACCATTTTTGTTCCTTTTGTAGACTAGAAGTAGAGACATACCAACATTTATTTTTAGATTGTCTTAAAGTTAAAAGATTATGGCAGGAGGTAATTCAAAAGTTACATTTAATCGAAATTGACATTGATGATTGGAAACCCATTTTTATGGGAATATCCGGCAATACTGCGAGAATATTTGTAATAAATTGTATCATATTTTTAGTAAAGTATATCATTTTTATTTCTAGAAAAGAAGGAACTTTGCCATCTGTACAGAAAACAGTACATATGCTTAAAAATTACAGAGACGAGGAATACAAAATAGCCTTCAAAAAGGGGAAACTGGGGATGCACTTACAGAAATGGGAACAAATCGATGCATTTTTACTTTAATGGATGTGGGTATTATTATTATTAGTAGTATTATTAATTCTCTCTCGTGTACAGGTGGACAAACCGGAACAGGTTGCATGCAGTGTGTGTGTCGGCGTGAAGGGGGTATGATGAGATGGGTGGGCTAGGGGGGGGGGGGGGGGGGGGTTAAGAGTTTGTGTGGTGTGAGTTGAGGGAACAGGTTGCATGCAGTGTGTGTTTGTGTTTGTATGTGTGATTATGTGTGTGAAAGGTGGTGAAAGGTGGTGAAAGGTGGTGTGGGTGGGCTAGAGGGGAGGGGGGGGGGGGAGTGTGAGAGTGTTGTGATAGGATGGTAATATGTAATTTTAAACCTTCCTCTACTGTTATTTTGATTATTCACTGTTACATGCAAGACTTTTTTTTTTCCTTTTTTTTTCTCTATGTTCATTGATTGATGTAACTTATGAAATGTCTTGTATCAAAGATCTTGTTTTATATTGCTTATCTTGATAATTTCTTGTTATGTGAATGTCTTGTTATGTGAAATTGTGAGGAAGGAAATAAAATATCATTTAAAAAAAAAAAAAAATAATGAAAAACTGAGTGTCAAATTTGAAAGAACAAAATATTTAAATGACGAAATCATCTTTGTTTGATCAAAATCGGTTCAGAGACGGCTGAAATATAACGATTTCTAATACTTGTAGACCACCACAAACATTAGATATTTTAAACAATTTGAAAAAAAAACGTTGAAAAAACCAAAAATAACGCCTTTTACGTCGTATTTCAACCAATGCCGATGTTAGCTTTTTTGTTGGCATTTTCGTGTTGCTTATATTACCCACAATTAGCCGGCTCATGTATTGTTAATTTTAATTAAATAATTAATTAACGGTCACCGTGTCTGTTTGAAAGTAGAGCTGAATTGGTCAATCGTATTGGCCAAATTTCACACATTTTGGGGTCTAAAATTACCTTCATAGCAATTTTAGGTTCTAAAAGGGCGCTATAAATGTCATAGATAAGAATAAGAGCAATAACCATGCACTTTGAAGGCATTTGCGGTCTGGAAACCAAACTCAAATATCCCTTTAAGGGCGCGTTCATGCTTGATTTTGACGGCCAGAATCAGGCATCTGTTATGCGGTGGTCACATCCCGCCGTACTTGCAAGTGCGTGCTGTCTACGTGCAAAAACGTGGGCAAAATTTGGGTATCGGTACGTGGTGAGTACCGCCTCCGTACGGATTTGGGAGCACGCAGACACACCGTAGCACTTTTAGTGCACGAGGAACTTTCGCTGCGTTCGGGCTACCGATTCACCCCCAGTGTGCGTGACGTGCGTGCCCGGTACTGCCAACGAGCGCACAACGCACTGACTCCGTGCGTTTTTAAATTTGTTTCCCACGATCACTTGCTCTACGGAAGGCGCACTTAGCACGTGCGTGCTGCGCACGTGATAAGCGCGTGGTCCGTGCTTACTCGTCACTTCCCCAGTTCAACTTTCTAAATGAGCACGCAGAACTCACGTGGACCGTACCGAGTAAGCACGTGCTCCGCACTTACAACGCACGTTGTGCGCACTGATTTATGCAGTATACAAAAGCCGAGCCGACGGAAGAGTGCTAACATTTCGTCTCCAAGATGGCGCCGAAGAAGACACAGAATAAGGGTCAGCTGCATCTGCAGCTCAAAAGGCAGCGGATAAGAAGAAAAGAGAGGCCCAACAGAAACGGGCCGCGGAAGATGAGAGGGCCAGAGAGGAAGAGGAGAGGAGGAGCGAAAAGGAGACAGATGGTGACGCCAAAGCGTCTGATCATGAGGAGGGTGCTGCTGGTGGATCGGAGAAGGGGTCACATGAAAAGGGTGTGACAAAGGAAAAGGCCAACTGTTCGTTCTCGGCGAAACAGGAGGAGCGCCTGGTTGAGTTCTTCTCGGTCAATCCGGTCTTCTTCGATAAGTTTCCCAGGTTTTTTCCTTCCCTTGAGGCCCGTTGGCCGACCATCTGGTTGGGTTCGGTCATCTGCACATCCTCCCTCCAGGCCCCAGGGACCACGTTGCCATCCTCATCCTCGTGGTCCAAATTAAGGTCCTGTAGTCCGGGCCGGCGCTTTCGCAGCCAATTGTGAAGGGTGAGGCAGCCCAACACAACGCGAATCACCCTGTCAGGCTCCAACAGCAGGGTGGTGAGTAGGCACCGCCACCAATGAGCCAATATCTCGAAGCCGTTCTCCACAACCCGACGGGCCCGAGAGGTCCGATAGTTTATCACGCTCTCTTTGTGGGTCATGGCACGGCGACTGTATGGCTTCAAGAGCCACTTTCGCAGGGGAAAAGCATCATCGCCTACGATGAAGTAGGGAAAGTTCTGGTCGTCGACTGGAAGTGGATCCGGTGCTGGGAATCCAATGGTGTGGTCCTCCAGTGCCCCCCGGAGGGTGGACTCGTTGAACACGCGTGCGTCTGAGGAAGAGCCGTTTGCCCCCACCTTGCACCACAAGAAGGAATAGTTAGCATCCACGATGGCCAGGAGCACCACAGAACAGAAGCGCTTATAATTGTAATAGAGCGATCCACTTTTATTGGGCTTCTTGATGGCGATATGTTTCCCATCGATCGCCCCATAACAGTGGTGAAAGTTCCATCGCGTTCCAAACTGGCTGGCGACGGCTTTCCACTCGTCCTGTGTGGAGGGCATGTTGAACATCTCCTCCTTATGTTCCTTGTAGATGGCGGTGCAGACCTCCGGCACAAACGTGGATATGCTGTTGTGTGCCACCCGGAAGTCGTAAATTTTAAAGCAAATACAAACCAAAACCAAGAATTTGTTATGGCAGAAATGAAGACACACACCTTGGGCACTTGGTGATTCGAGGGGTCACTCGGAGCAGGAGCTCGGCGAAGAGATTGGGGTCCATTCGGATGTATCCGACATAGTCCCCCCGCGATTCACGCTCTAGTTCTTGGAACAACGTTTCGTACTGCCCGAAAAGCCTCCTCCTCTCGATCCATGGGCGAACCACCATCTCCTGCGTCGGCATCTCTGTTGCCTCTCTCTCTCCCGTATCAAGGCAAGTAATACCACGTCGTGCTCATGCGCTGCCACTTGAGGGTGTTCTTGCAGCATCAGAACCCGGAGTCTCTGCGGTGGAATGGGTGGCATCATGAGGAGGCAGCAGCAGCTGGGACTTCTAGAGAAAATGGGAATGTCGTCCTATATACTTCGACATACCCCGACTCACCAAGTTCTTCGGACGTGCACGCACTTACAACGTGCGAGTGAGTAAGGACACCGTACGTGAGCAGCACGTGTAAGTACGGCCTCCGTAAGATAACGTGGCAACCGCACGGAGACCGTACGTTGTAAGCACGTAGTAAGCACGTTGTAAGCACGTACAACGCACTTACCACGTGCGCAACGTACGATGCACGCAACCGCTCTAGGCCAGGCGTGGCGTGCGGGCCACGTACTTACACCGTGCGTGTGACGTGCTTTGCCGGTACTCCCTCCCTGCCTTTGCCACTCCCTCCCTACGTTTTCAGAAAACGTGGCGGCCGTGGCCTCCCCAAAAACCGTACGGACTAAAAACACGCACGGTGGGATGTGACCAACGCTTAAACGCGTTTAGTTTAAAACACGATTGCGTTCATGCTCACTTTTGTAGAATCACCGAAAAACGGCGATCACGATCGCCGATCGTAAACTCAAAAAAAGATGCGTTTACAATTTGTAAACGCGTTTAAATGGGGTCAACGCACTGACCTCTAGTGGGTCTACGTAGCATGCGCACACAGGTTTGCGAATCCAGCTGAAGGCCACCCAAGGAGAATTGCCTGGAGAAGTGAGCATGAACAGTGCACCGTGGAACTGCGATTACGATGAGCGTTTACGATGAGCGTTACAAATCGCTCATTCTGCCTTCAAAATCAAGCATGAACGCGCCCTAAGTCGTGTACACTACCTACCATCAATGATTCCATGAAATACTATTAACATTTAAAATGTCTATCCAACAGTAAATTTCTCTGGTGTGGAAATGGGACCATGTGTGTCCGTATTCAACTAAACTAGTGAAAGCTGATGCTGATGCAGCTGGGCTAAAAGCTCAATAAGCGACAATAGAATAAGGAGATACTGGAATTAAATTGAATTGAATTGAAAATGGTATATTAAAAACGATACATAGCGGCCCGAAAGCTGAATTGCATATCGATTCACGATAAAATAACAGTAAAATTTCACTTTACCTAAAAATAGACATTAATCTTAACAATTTGAAAGCATAACATAGTTCAAGTCAGTACCTTAGAAGATGAATCATCCTAGGGATGTTATTATGCAACACTGAAGGAGGGAGAAGAGAAAGATGGATAGAGAGTCCTCGATAGAGGTAGAGAAAGAGAGAGAGAGAGAGAGAGAGAGATAGACTTGATATACTTGAGTGCAGACTGCAGGCTGCAGATACAAACTCAATATCAATATCTATATTATCATTTCCATTTGTTACGTATCTTTATTGTCAAACATAGCCTGGTACGTGTCATATAATTATTTTGTAATAATATCATTTACCACTGCATATACAATCTACATTGCGAAACTATACTACTTGATGATTTTCTTATTGTTTTATTTATGTATTGTGAAACAAAATGTTCATGTATATGAATAAAGTTTACTAATAAAATATTTTAACACTTCAAGTTCTAGCTTAAATCCTTCGTTGGAAAATGGACTCTTAAATTCGAAGACCCTGGCAACAACAGCCAATGCCTTGCCCTGTAAATCGCCCCTGACCTTGCCCATGTCCTTGTCATTGACCTTGAGTCCGCCCTTGTAATTGACCTTGAGCCTGTCCTTGACCTTGTCCTTAGGCGATGTTCACGGTGTTAAACTTAGCCCTGAATCCTTGTAGCCCTCTGCCCCCATGCGACTTGAATTGTAGCCTCATCACATTGCCCAAGGATATGTAGGAACCAATCGGCTCCTCATCACCGCAAATCCTGGTTAAATGAAAGTGAAAGAGAGAGAGAGAGAGAGAGAGAGAGAGGGAGAGAGAGAGAGGGGGAGGGGGCAAGGTTTTGCTTTAGTAATAGTTCCATTAAAAATAATTGTTAAAAGTATAGCTATGTGGCCGAGCATAATTTGCGAGGGGTTCTGGTTGAAGTCAATGACCAAAATCTTCTTCCATTTTTTTTTCTTCTTCTTTTTCTTCTCCTCCTCCTTTCTTATTTCAGTAATCACCTTATAGTATTTTATCTTTATTATCATATTCATTCTTCAACCTCAAATCAACACTGCTATCAGATGCTGATTTACAGGTGTGACACAGTTCATAAGTTTCATGACGAAATGAGCAAGCCAATGATTTATTTTAAAGGCACACTGTCCTACTTGTAGCTACTTGCTCCCTCTATATAGAAAACTTCCCAAATTGGTGCCTGTTGGTCCCCCATGATCCTCTTTTTCTTATGTTAAATGAGAGCTGAGTTAATGAGATAGCCACCTGTCACAGTGACCTCGTTGGCTCGCTGTGTGGTCTAATCCCTTCTAGCTGCAGTAGTAACGCCTACCTTTAAGACGGAATAAAACGATCTTCTCCGAGAAGGTTTTTAATATTTGAGTAGGTACATAAACTGTTAGCACCAGAATGAGCGTATTGGTCAACAGAGGCTGTCCCTTCAGGGCCACCATAAGTTACAAATATAGGTATGTGTACGTCCAACTTGACTTACTTAAGATTTTCGGTGATTCCATTTCCGAGGTCGACCATAATGAAATCCGTCTGATATCTGATCTCAAACGCGGGTTCGAAGTCGAGCTGCACGTGAGAGCCTTCTGGCGCAGTGATATCATAGGAGCACGAGGTCCGCTTGGGATAGTTTCCAGGGTAGTTTGGCGATTGGATGAAGCCTTCGTCTTGGTTTGTCGTATCTTCGCACGCTCGTCGGTGCGAGCCTTCGACAAGAGCAACGGACTCCATGTCAGGAACGACGTCGACAGTGCGGTAGCTGGCGACGAACCCGCCTCGGGTGATGGAGTAATCGGACTCGAAGACAATGGTCATAGTGTTGGACACCGAGACGATCTCTCCTTGTGGGACATCATCGCCGCAGATTCTGTCATTTGATAGAAAATGTATTATAATAATACTAGATGTACAGTGACTTTAAGATATGCCTTTGTTTCACCTATGAATACCACTGCTCTGTAAAAGCAATATCCAACCTGAATAGACATTAATGCTCTAAAAGATATCAGAGAGAACGGAGAAGTTTTGGGGGTAAGGTTAACTGTAAAAAGATGATATTTTCCCACAAGAATCAAAGTTAGGGGCACTGTACATTGTGATAATGAGGGAAAGACATGGGCACATATTAAGGCAGAAATTAACCCATCAGAATATCGTTTTCCCTTCAAGGATGGGTAACCTATTGGTGCTTCAATTACAAAAGTGGCACTTTTTCATTGCTCGATGGTTAATTAATAATTTGGGGAAAAGCTGATGGTGTATACCCCTGTTATCCCCAAAATTGGTATTTGCACCTATTTTTTTAATAGTTAAAAATACGCATCGTCACGCAATTGAATACTGTCTTGAATAACCATTTATTAAAGCTTACATTTCCCATGTTTGCAAGTGATACTAATGTTGTCACTGTTTTACCGTCAAAATCTGTCACAAACGGATTCTGACATGCCATTTTCTAAACAATACTGCTCGGTGAAGCGTGCATGGATTAATGAAATCAAGTTATAATTCAAAGCAAATAACTTTTACTTAATGAAAAGCGATTAATTATTTTCATCCAGCTCATAATATCCGCACTTTAATCGTTTATTGGGATTTTGTTTTTCTTCTTCTGGAAATATATAGTGTAGCCTATCATAGTGTATCATCTTTGTCTTTCAATGATAAAACATATCGAAACTTACTCGATAGGCGTGTGACTCCCATCTCCTAGGTTTATTTCTAACCAGTCGTAACAGTAACATTCCAAATCAAATGCTTCCAAAGTTACCGCCACACGCTGTCCCGCTGCCACGGTTATCTGGTATGTACACATCTGGTCGTTGGGATAGGCGCTCGGATAGTTTGGTGAAGCAAACCGGCCGGCTGCATTGGCAAAGTCTCCTCCGCAGGTCCCAACGACTTCGGTAGTTGGTCGTATGGTAGTGGTGGGTTGCGTTGTTGTGGTTAGTTGTATGGTAGTAGTGGGTTGCGTGGTTGTAGTGGGTTGCGTAGTTGTGGTGGGTTGCGTAGTTGTAGTTGGTTGTGTTGTAGTGGTGGGTTGCGTGGTTGTGGTGGGTTGGGTGGTTGTGGTGGGCTGCATGGTTGTGGTGGGTTGGGTGGTTGTGGTGGGCTGCATGGTTGTGGTGGGTTGCGTAGTTGTGGTTGGTTGTGTTGTAGTGGTGGGCTGCATGGTTGTGGTGGGTTGGGTGGTTATGGTGGGTTGGGTGGTTGTGGTGGGCTGCATGGTTGTGGTGGGTTGCGTTGTTGTAGTTGGTTGTGTCGTAGTGATGGGTTGCGTGGTTGTGGTAGGAATGTTAATGATATAATTTGCCGTGAATCCTTTGTAATGGTTTGCTCCGTTTGATGCAAACAATACTCTCATCTGATTACCAGCAGAATTGAAGCTCAGTGGTAACATGTTATCCGAACCACATATCCTCGTGCCATCATGTGTCAAAGATGTATCATAAACAATGGTGTAATCCCAGTAACAAATATCACCGTAGTTTGTTAATGAAGCTTTGGCCTGCAGCTCGAAAATTGTGAAAGTCAAACTGATTGTCGATCCAACTGGGCCCTGTCACGACAACAACATTAATAACACCATGGTAAGTCAAATGTGACATGATCATATTAAAGCACATTGAAATAAGTATGCGTTATATAACTGTAACACATCATGTTATCACATTATTGTCATTACTATCATTGCTACCGTTATTATCATTAGTATTATTAATAATAAAGGAGTAGCAGTTTTAGTAGTACATGTAATCAGTGGCGTAATGAGCAAAAACGTGTGTGGGGGGGGGGGGGGGCTGACAAAAAAAAATCCGAATCACCCCACTCTAACATGCAGTCCCTGCTGAACGTTTCTCGAAATGGGGTCTAGTGGCAAAGCCCGGCGGGGGTCAAGGGGCGGAGCCCCCAAGCTCAAGGGGTATGGGCATCAGTGGCGGATCCAGGAATGTCTTACCGGGGGGGGGGGGGGCACACAAAATGGCAAGGGTTGAAATGTAAAACGATGAAGCGACAGAACGAGGCTTTAACGGCGAGGGAGTGAAGTGACCAAGCAGGGGGTGGGTCTGGGAGGGGGTTCTGGCCCCCTCCCAGAGTAAGAAGCGTTTGCAATTTTAGAACCACATTAGACGCATTTTCAGGCACTTCCTGGCAGGGGCGTCGCTAGACCTTTTTCAGTGGGGGGGGGGGGGGGGTGTAGAGGCCACCGATTACCGACAAAACTAGCCACCAATTACCGACAAAATTAAATGTTCAATATCTACAAATTCAACCCTAAAAACCTTGGGCCGAAGCTAAATTGTTTTTCATATGGACTATCTATAGTACTTGCATATGCGCAAAATGGTCATTTTCCTCGAAGACATAAATATATGTATTATTTCTTCAATTTAGTCAGCATCATAGCTATATATTTTAATGCAGGCGCGGAGCTAGGATCTTATTTTAGGGAGGGGCGGTAGTGAGCAAGAGAATCACTTAAAAGCGCGCTCATTAGGGGGTTTGGGTGATGGGCCTCCTACGCGAAGCGCGGAAGCTTAGACGTTTCCTTTAATTATAAGGAAAAGAAGACGATTAATTGTCCCGTTTTCGACTAGTAATCCTTGGCTGAATGAAGTTCCCCCACCCCCTCCCATCCCCACCCCCCTCTTTGACGTTTCATTAAATTATGAGAAAAAGCAGACGATTCGTTGTACCGTTTTCGACTCTAAATAAGCCCTATTAATTTTGTCTGAACTCAGTTTCCCCTCTCGCGCGAAGCGCGGAAGCTTTGACGTTTCCTTAAATTATTAGAGAAAGAAGACGATTCGTTGTACCGTTCTCGACTCGACTAAATGAAGTTTCCCTTCCGCGCGAAGCACGGAATTTTTGGCGTTTCATCACAATATATATAGAAAGGAAGACGATTCGTCGTACCGTTGTTGACTCTTAAACCTTGTTTGAATTTGGTTTTCCCGAAAATTTTAAACCTCTGATTTCTTTAGCTGATATTATAGAAAAGTGAAACTTCGAGAAAAAACAAGTATTGTAGTTGTAGTCACTCTCGAAGTCGTCACAGCGGATAAGAAGACACAGTTCGTAGGGAAAAAAACTTGTCGGCCGACCAATAATATACATCTCACCGACTTAAAATTTCTGCATTGATATAGTACACGAGGATTGATCAAGAATACCGACACAGCCGACCCGACACAGCAACATATTTACCCGTTTCTTTCTTGCTCCCTCGACGAGACGACTCCACCCAACAACTCCCTTCTCTCTTTTACTCCCACTCCTCCTCTCTCAGACTCTTACCTCCCTTCTCTCTCCTCTCTTTCATCCCCCGTTTCGTTTGTTTCCCTTTCACTCTTTTTTCTTCTTTTTTCTTTTCTTTCTTTTCTTTCTTTTCCTTTCTTTCCTCTCCTCTCTCTTTGTCTTTTTTCTCTTTCTTTCTTCTCTTTTCTTTCCTTTCTTTTCCGTTCTTTCTTTTCTTTTCCTTTATTTTCTTCTTTTCTTTCCCTTTCCCTCTCTTTTTTCCCTTTCTTTTTTTCCCTCTCTTTTTTACCCTCCCCCTTTTCTCTTTTTTTCCGACGGCAGCGCAATTTTACCGACATTATCCTGACAGGTGGGGGGGGGGGGGTTTCGCACCCCTCACCCCCCCCCTTTGGCGACGCCCCTGCTTCCTGGAGTAATATAGTATGACGTAAAATTGCTTTCTCCTAGCCCTTCCAAGAGTAGGGATCTTTTGCAATTTGAGAACCACATTTGGCGCATTAATGTCCACCGGCACTTCCTGGAAAAAAGAGGCCTTCTTGAATTCAGACAAGATTAAGAGTAGAGAACGGTACAACGAATCGTCTTCTTTCTCTAATGATTTAATGAAACGGCAAAGCTTCCGCGCTTTGTGCGCGAGGGGATTCGTTAGAAGTTAGAGAAAAGTGATCTGACACGTCGTGAGACGTTGTATAGATTATGCTTTGATGCCGGTACTTCACTGTAGTACTTGCAAAAATTATCTCGAGTGTATAAACTGTGTCGTTATCGGGGGCGCGGCTAGATCTTTTTCAGTGGGGGAGGGGGGAAGGGTGTAGAGGCCACCGATTACCGACAAAACGAGCCACCAATTACCAACAAATATAAAAATGCCAATGTCCAAATGCCTACAATTTTCACCCTATAAACCCGGGGCCAGGAACGAATTTATTTTTTCAGTTCCCCCCTCCCGCGCGAAGCGCGGAAGCTTTGACACTTCATTATATTATTAGAGATAGAAGACGATCCGTTGTACCGTTCTTGACTCTTAATTCTTGGTTCGCCCCTCCTGCGCAAAGCGTGGAAGCTATGACGTTTCATTTAATAATTAGAGAAAGAAGACGATTCATTGTTCCAACCCCGACTCTTAATCCTTGTCTGAATTCAGTTTCCCCCCCTCCCGCGCGAAGCGCATAAGCTTTGACGTTTCAATAAATTATTACTCTTAATCCTTGTCTGAATTCATTTTCGCCGATCCCGCGCGAAGCGCTAAAGCTTTCACGTTTCATTTAATTATTAGAGCAAGAAGACGATCCGTTGTACCGGTCTCGACTCTTAATCCTTGTCTGAAATCAGTCCCCCTCCCGCGCGAAATGCGTAAACTTTGTCTTTCAATAAATTATTACTCTTAACCCTTGTCTGAATTCATTTTCGCCCATCCTGCGCGAAGCGCAGAAGCTTTCACGTTTCATTAATATAGAGAAAGAAGACGATTCATTTTATCGTGTATTTGTCTGAATTCAGTTTCCCCCCTCCCACGCGAAGCGCGGAAGCTTTGTCGTTTTATTTAATTATTACTCTTAATCCTTGTCTGAAATCATTTTCGCGTTTCATCAAAACCGTTCTCGACTATTAATCCTAGTCTGAATTCAATTTCCCCCCCCCTCCCGCGCAAAGCGCGGAACTTTGCCGTTTAATTAAATTATTAGAGAAAGAAGACGATTCGTTGTACCGTTCTCTACTCTTAATCTTGTCTGAATTCAATTTCTCCCATATGTGCAGTGTTACATGATGTAAGTATGGAATGCTCGTTCGCAGATCTGTGCATGCTCAGCCCGAGTGGTAGGTAGCATGTTATCTCCCGGCAGTGCTTTGCACAAAGCTTCTGGAAAGGATTTTTTTTACCAGTGTTACTGTTAGTGGCCACTATAAGGCCCTTAGTGACTATAAAAAACATAAGCTCTTCCTGGTTTTTTGGGAATGGGTCAGTTTGCAAGAATTAATGGAGAAACTAGCATTTTGTTGAAAATCATGTGATATCACGAACATATACATCACTTGTGAAAAAAAGTCATGGTTCAATTTTTTTTTGGGGGGGGGGGGGCTGGAGCCCCCCAAGCACCCCACCAGTACGCCAGTGCATGTAATAGTATCTTTTATTGTTGCTATTATTATTATGTTTGAACTAAATTAAGAATCTAAGGCTTTTCCTCATATCAGGCTAATTGAATCAAAGCTCCAAAATGTATGGGGTTAATTATAGCAAGCATTGTAAACTTCCAATGATTTGTTAATTTCAGAGCGAAATCTCGCCATATTTCCAGGGCAGAAAACCGTGTGTGACATGTGGACAAAGGGGACATTCTATCCATGCTTGATGGTTTTGTTTTGAGGAGAAAAACAAAGAGACAGATACTCTTTTCACACTGGTTTTGCTTAACCCCGTACTTTGCTTAGCCCCGTACTATCCTTAACCCCGGACTATTTTTTTGGCTTTTCACACTCGCTGTTTTTAGTCCCGTACTAGCGCCTATTCCGGAATAAGAAAATTCCCGCTGTTCTCACTGCATTTCGTTAACCCCGGATATCGTGTATGTTATGATTGGACATACCTCGCATCTGGCCAGCTGCGATACGCTCCATTGCGTAGTACCGGACTATTTTTCGTTTCTGTTCTCATTCATTTGCTTAGCACCGCAATTGCGGGGTTAGCAGGAGTTAGCACCACAATTGCGGAGTTAGCCCTGCTATTTTGCAGGGTTAGTTAACCCCGTACTATAGGTGGGGTTAGCCAACTTTAGCCCACTTTGGTAAAAACCAGTCTGAACAGAAAGTGGAATAGGCTTAACCCCGTACTATAGGTGGGGTTAAGACCCCTTAACCCCACCTATAGTACGGGGTTAAGGAAAATATTGCCAGTGTGAAAAGCGTAAGAGGGGGTGAGATAAATGAACATGATTAAGAAGGTGAGAGAAAGTAGATGACTTGTACCCTCCAACAGTCACTCAGGCCCCTTATTTAGCCCCCTTATTTATCCCCCTTATTCAGAGGGTCCCATTATTTAAAAAGAAGTCCACTGCCTGCCTAAATAAGGACTCGACCTGCGATAATCCACGGATTTGCGGAATTTATTTAAAGGGCATATATAAATATTTGAAAATACATGGAGAGGTGTCGCGGTCATTGGTTTATTCCATTTTACTCTCAATCTAAGGGTTGAGGGTTCGAATCCCATCCTGGAAACGTCATTTGGAAAGACATTAAAGGCAGGCTTTACTACTTCAGCTAGAAGGGATTAGACCACCCAGCGAGCCAGCGAGGTCACTGTGACAGGTGGCTATCTCATTAACTCAGCTCTCATTTAACATATTAAGAAAAAGATGATCATGGGGGACCAACAGGCACCGATTGGGGAAGTTTTCTATATAGAGGGAGCAAGTAGCTACAAGTAGGACAATGTGCCTTTAAAACATGAATCCACATTTGCCACTCTCCACCATGTCTATACCACTGGTTATGACAAAAAATTTGGAAACACGGTTCCTTTTCTCTCTCTCTCTCTCTCTCTCTCTCTTTCTCTGTTTTTCAGCAAAGACCTACTAAACATGTAGTTGGCGATGACATAAACGTACCGTGATGAGGTACTGACATAGTTCATCTGGACCATAGCTTAAAGGGTAGTTCGGTGAGGAGATAGTACCCGTCTCTCCGTCGTCTGTGGTTCTTTCGATAATGCAACCTAAGGGAAGAAATAGACATAAAACGATCTTTGATTGCACTTCGTTTCAGTTCCGCTGATATAATTCCTCAATTTTTTTAATCGAGCTCTCTTTCGGTCTGCCCATCTTTCTCTTTCTCTTTCTCTTTCTTTCTCTCTCTCTCTCTCTCTCTCTATATATATATTTATATCCCGCTCTTTCCATCCATCAATCCGCATATCTATACCTTTCTCTCCCTCTCCTCCACTATATCCACATCTCTCTCTCTCTCTCCCCTAAAACTAATTCGCTCTCATGTCTCGATCTTACATTACTCTGGGTGCGTTCAAGCGATTTTTCGAAGCTAGAATCACAAACATGAATCACAAATCAAAACGCCGTTACAAAACAAGGTCACTGCGAGAAAGCGTTCAAGCGATTTTATTCTAGCTATTTCGAGCCCAGCCACTGCGCATCACACTGCGCAGTTTGACCCAGGAAGTATAGGTCAACTTCGGCGCGCGCTTTCTGGAATTGTTTACGGCCGACTGTCGACTGCTGTTTTGAGCATAGATCGCAATAATAAAACAAAGAATGAGAAGGTGATAGAAGGAAGAAACAAAGAATAACATAAGAAAAGACAGAAAGAGAAAGTCGATAGAATGATTAAAACAAAGAATGACAATTAAAGAGAAAGTGAATGTGATATAAGGAAGGAACAATGAGGAAGGACAGAAAGAGAAAGTGATATAATAATTAAAATAAAGAATAACATAACTGAAAGGGACAGAATGATGAAAACGAGGAATAACATAAGAGAAGGTGAGAGAAGGAAGAATCAAAGAATAACATAAGGAAAGACAGAAAGAGAAAGCGATAGAATGAATAAAACAAAGAATAACATAAGAGAAAGTGATAGAATGATTAAAACAAAGAATAACATAAGAGAAAGTGAAAGAAGGAAGAAACAAATAATAAAATAAGGAAAGACAGAAAGAGAAAGTAATAGAATGATTAAAACAAAGAATAACATAAGAGAAATTGATAGAATTATAAAAACAAAGAATAACATAAGGAAAGACAGAAAGAGAAAGTGATAGATTTATAAAAACAAAGAATAACATAAGAAAAGGTGATAGAAGGAAAAAACAAAGAATAACATAAGAATAGAGGGAAGAAACATAGAATAACAAAAGGGAAAGTGATAGATTTATAAAAACAAAGAATAACATAAAAAAAGGTGATAGAAGCAAAAAACAAAGAATAACATAAGAATAGAAGGAAGAAACAAAGAATAACATAAGGAAAGACAGAAAGAGAAAATGATAGAATGATTAAAACAAAGAATAACAAAAGAGAAAGTGATTGAATTATAAAAACAAAGAATAACATATGAGGAGGTGATAGAAGGAAGAAACAAAAAATAATATAAGAATAGAAGGAAGAAACAAAGAATAACATAAGGAAAGAAAGAAAGAGAAAATGATAGAAGGAAAACAAGGAATAACAGGCCACGATAAAGAGCATGGTATAGTGAACGCAAATATCATGAAAAGCAGACGCGCGGTTTTTGCCCAAACCGGAACAGGCCACGAAAATGACGCCATAGAATCATGATTGAGAACTCCGTTCGTTCAATCGAATTTTAGCGACCGTGATTCTGCAGAATCATGATACAAAACGCATCTTTTTCAGCGTTTCATGTTTTTTTTTTTAAAAACACGTTTATTGTTACGACCGACGAAAAAATCACTTGAACGGAACGTGTTTTAAACTAAGCGTCTTTAAATATCGTGATTCTAGGGTAAAAAAGTGTCGATTTAACGCACCCTCTTTCTCTCCTTTTTTATCTCGAATTTGTCTGTCCCCTCTCTCTCATTTAATAAAATAGATTTCAACACATAAAACATAAAAAGTGTTTGCCCCGCCCCTTCTGCCCCCCCCCTCTCTCTCTATCTCTCTCTCTCTATATCTGCGTTTTGCCCTCTCCCATTCTTAAACAAAACTCCGGGATCCGCCCATGCTTAAACAGGATCGACTTACGTGGAACAAATTCGGGATTGTTCATTTCGCATCGATCTCCCGTATATTGAGGTGGACACACACATGTGCAGTTGTTGAAGAGGTAGCCGTCGTTCATACAAAACGAGGAATCCAAAACACAATCAGCTTCAGCCGCCGCTGGGCATCCGTAGACAAGATTGAGTAGTTTGAGATCCCCGAACGATGGGGCGACACGATTTCCCAAGTATGGCATCTCCAGTGGGTCATTGGTAATGATCGTTGGGCTACGATCGAAATTAACTGTGTCTACAGAAAAAGCCTGAGGGCAAAAGGAGAATGATATTCATCTGCCAAGAATAAATCATGTTCATATTATTCATATAATCATATTCATATTCTCATAACTACTTCATGAAAAACGGTAAAGAGAATTTATTCCAAATTTATGGGTATAAAATATGTGCCTTTAATTTGCCACCTGCTCCTACATTGCTCAGAGGACAAATACAAACAAACCTACCAGTACAGAATGCGATCGCAAGAAAGACATAAAATCATTGAAATTTGTATTATATACATGAATAAGGAGAAGGCGTTGGGGGAAAGGAATAATTAGAAACGGAGAAAAGCGTAGAAACAAACAGAAACAAAATACTTACGGTACTGGAGTAATGCATGATAGACGTTGTATCGTATGGTATTCCATAGGTATTAATCACAGTCTCGCCATACTTATCAAAGTTGGTTTGCCGCCCTTCTTGGACATTGTCCAAAAGAATAGTCACGTGATCATCTCGATCCGGGCGGGACTGCTCATGGAAGAAGGAGAGGGCGTGGCATATGTCGTGGAATATTATGCCAAACTGTCAAGTTAGATGAGAAAAGAAAAAGACTGATTGCATTGCTAGTTGGGCGTTATTATAATGCGTGTTTTGAATGTTGTATTTAGCACATCGCTCGCGCACCACCGTGAAAACAAGGAGGTGCCTACCCCCGGGGGTCTCAGTCATGTAGAAATACTGTAAGCATGCGTGACCACAGGTTTTCGGGAGACCCCCTAAACAGGGATTTCTTTTGAAGCCTAAATACACCCTCAATGAGGATTCTGCGTGGTTTTCCCCCCAAATTCACACCCTTAACGGGTATTTCAAAAAAGTGTACGTACTCCTAAACAAGTAAAAAAAAAAAAAAAAAAAAAAACCCGGTCTGGCCCTGAGTCCTAGAAAAATACCCCTATAAACGCGTATACCGGAGCGTACAGCAGGATTTCTAACCATGTTGAAAAGGCACCTTTTTTTTTTTGAGATTGGCCCCAAATGGACTTTTTTAAACTCCTTAATGCGGCACCGCGCGAACCGCGTCCGATCTAAAAAAAAAAAAAACACCCCTTTATACGCGTTTTCTTGGTCACGCATGCTCACAGTATTTATATTTGACTGAGACTCCCGGGTGCCTAATATCGGAGTGTTACTCACCGATTCCGTCAGCAAATCTTTTAATTTGCGAACCCTTCCTCTCTTGAACTTGTTATGAGTTTGGTTTTCTCGTTTGTATGATTGTTATTTTGTTTCTTCTTCTTCTTCTTCTTCTTCTTCTTCTTCTTCTTCTTCATCCTCCTCCTTCTCATCTTCTTCTTCATTATCTTTTGCTTCTTCTTCTCCTTCTTATAATACTTCTTCGTCTTCCTCCTCCTCCTCTTCTTCTTCTTCTTCTTAGTCTGCTATCATGTTGGAAATGGTTCTTAGTAAACACCATTTTATGTATTTTATCATAAATCATGTCATTCAACATTAATTCAAATCTCACATTTTCTCGCAGTGAGAGCTAACACCTTTAATACCCACATTTGGGGCTTTAGGGTTTAATCCGAGTTTCAATTGTTTGTGGCGGACACTGCCATGACTGCATACTTACATGAGCACAGCCATCTCCAATGGAAATATCATTGACCAGATTCGAAGATCGGCGTCCAATGTATGACCAACACCTAATAACGAATAGAAGAAATAGAAGAAGGGAAAAAAGGAGAAGAAGAAGAAGAAGAAGGAGAAGAAGAAGAAGAAGAAGAAGAAGGAGAAGAAGAAGAAGAAGAAGAAGAAGAAGAAGAAGAAGAAGAAAAAGAAGATGGAAAAGGCAAGATGGGGAATGGAAACAGAGAACGGAAGAAACAAAAATGTAAAATATGTTAGTCATGTTGAAGACCATAATAAAACTACACGCTAGTAAAGCAAGAGGACAAAGTAAAACTTCATGCCAATAGATATGATTTCATTGTGATCATATAATAATATTGCTAACAATAATAATGATGATAATAAAAATGATGATAATAATGACGATGACGATGATAATAACAACAATGATAATAAAATTGAAATAAAACATGATCTCAACTACTTAAAAAGCAACCGTACCTAAGGCAATATGAATGGCTTTGTACGTCACCCTTTGAAATGTGCGAACATGACGATGATATAATCTAAAATGATTTCTATGGGACATAATCATATTAGGCCAGGTGTAGAAATTGCCTTTGAGTTGATTTCTCGAAAGTAGTAATATAGGATTTCCCGGCCAAATTCGCGTGTTTGTCATTCGAATTCATTTACTTTGCATTTAAGTTAGCGCAGATCGGCTTTGCCATGCTAATCATCATTCAATTTTCCAGCTTTTGTATTTAATTTAGGATTTTGGTCGAAGGGTTTCATAGATCTGTCATTCAATTTAGAAACTGCTCAACTAGCATTCAAATTAATATTCACTTGTCGAAGCGTAATTTTTATCATTCAAATTAACACCTGTCATTCGTATTCGAAATATTTTTATTCAAGTTAGGAATGTTAGGGGGAAGAATTGCAACAAACTTTTACAGTATTTAAATAATGCAGTTAAAATGCATGATTTGCCATTAGGGTTTAAGCTGTTATTCCATTTATTTATTTTCAGGACAATGCAGATGGGTGTAGTCAGACATAAAGTAGAGAAGGGGCGAAATCAAGGGATATGGCATTTCTGCACGGACATGTTCATATACCCGGGAAAGGTGGGGGTACCCTCAATCGCCCCTTTTTTTTAATTTTTTTTTTTTACTACAGACTCGGAATTTTACAAAAGTAATTCACATCGTCTCTTATACCCAGCACACCCCTCTGTTTTTCTTAAAGTGTTTCATAGTTTACCTGCCCGCCAGCAGATCGATGGCTAAGACATGGCTAAATAATGAATCACGTTCAAATTGTTGACTCTAGTCCCTCCCTACTCCAGTCACAATATTATTATGAAATTATGATCAATTTATGATACAACATAAGACAAACAACTTCCTTACATGAACATTTACAAATATACTGAGACCATCAGGTCCGTAGATGCAAGTCGTTTTTTTCTTCTTAACAATCAAACTTAAATGCTGATGAATATCAGACAAATCTAATAATAATAAGTGTATAAATGCAAGAAAATGAAATATGATGAAATACACATGAAAAAACAATCTTGAAAGAAAAAGAATGAGCTATAAAAATTGTGTAATAAACGAGAAATGTATAATGACCATCAATTTAAGTGCAAAAAGTGCTAATTTGAATGCAACAAATGAATTAGAATGCTAGAAGTACACCGTCGCGTTGTCAGAAAATCGTGTTGCGCCAAATCGAATGACCAAATAGCGAAAGAAGCATAATGTTCGTTAATTTGAATGAAACATACGTAGATTCTAACGAAAAGTCCATAGATTTGAAAACTAGAAAAGGGAATATAAACCCGAGATATACCTGACTGCACTAAAACCGTCGAATTTGAACGCAAGACAAATTAATTTGAATGACAAACTCGCGAATTTGGCCGGGAAATCCTATAATAATGATGATAATAATAATAATAACAACAAAATATTATATATATATATATATATATATATATATATATATATATATATATATATATAAAAGTGCGAGAATTCTCAACTCTGACATGACAACGGGTGTTCCAGAATATGTAGGCGTGAAGAAAATGGTCTAGGAAACAAGACAGCTACGTCTCACGTTCCTAGACCATTTTCTTCACGCCTATAAATATATAAAAGTGCGAGAATTCTCAACCCTGACATGATAACGGGTGTTCCAGAATATGTAGGCGTGTTTGCACTTCAGAACTTGAAGAAGGCCTTACACGCCCTAAGCTCGTAATAAAATTGTAAAGTACAGCTACGGTTCACGTTCCTAGTCCAATTTCTTCACGCCTATCCTTTCTGTGAATATTCATGAATATTCTCAATACATGATTGGTCAATTGGTGCTCACTTGATAACATATTATTTCACTAGGAACAGGGAGCTGTAAAAACATATCTCTGCCATAGTGCCAGATCTCCGAATAGCTTTCATTATATCCTGCATCAAAAAAATTATTGGCTTTTGATTGGTTGAAAGCTCGTCACATGACCAGAAATATTTGAACTATTTTTTAGAAAGTACTATATGAGAGTACTATTTGGGATTACTATTTGGGAGATGACAAAAAAACATTTGACATTGTTTTTGTTCTAAATTTGTTTTTCTCCCCCAAAATGATTTTTTTTAAAATTTCAAATAAAATAATTTTTGATGCAGGATATAACACAAATATACCATGCCTTCTATTCGAGGTACTGGTTAAAACTTTGGGTCTCCGTGACTCCAAAAGTACCATTTGCTTCGGGGCTGCGCCCATCAGCAAATACTATTAGAGTCACCTCTTGCGCATAGTTTTAACCAGAACCTCTCAAGACAGTGTATATTTGTATACTATTTTTTCCTGGGCAGAACTGCGCATGCGCTATTCAATATTTTCTTCCAAGGGACTACTGCGCATACTCACTGTTCATTGACAAAATTTGTGTCAAATTCGAACGCGCAGACGACCCAGTGAGCGAGTCCTTATATCGGTTGACCAGACCTATTTAAGTTGTAACTAAATTGTAGTGTTTTGAGTCTATTTCGTTATAATATATATATATATATATATTAGATAACATAATTTTAGACAATATTAATTTATTCGCAAACAACTATTTTGAATGAGCAAATTACCTGCAAGGGATCGTATAACATTTAGTAACACCACGTCTGATACTTAGTAAAGTTAACATAGCTAGAGAGTTTAACATGTTTGACGAGTTACTTGACAAAAAAGGTACAATTTTCATAGAGTCAAATTATATTGCGCGCTCATTAATAGGGTAGGAGGTGCCATTTTGATCGCGTTAAATATAAATCATGGTCTGTAGGGCGACGTAAATAGGGACTTTTAGATTTGTACGACGAGAACGTGAACTGCTAGGTGTGACATCCTTAAGGCAATGTGACGTTCTTGTAGGGCACTGGCAGTGTGCCCAGCAGTGCCTTAAAAGGATGTCACACGTTGCAGTCCACGTTCTCGTCGTGCAAATCTAAAAGTCCCTAATAAGCCTCTGAAGAAATGCGATGCATGCGCTAGTACTTATGGCATAGGCATTGTTCTTTCAACCGGAGTGTCACAGGGCATCGCTATGAGTGAAGTTAAACCAGGGACTTGATAGACTGGTTAAACAGACTGTTATAACTTGTATGAAAACGAACGATTGGAAACCGCAGACAAAAATCTTGTCTTATATTCAAACAGTGATAATTACGTCGTAGCGATTGACTAATTCTGGAACATGTACAACCGTAATCCAGCTAGGATGTAAAATACCCGATTTTGGGCTGACGTAGGACTATTTCAGCGAGAGGCAATTATGGTCTTTGATCGACTATGGGAGAGCAATATCGACGAAATTAAAGTGCAAAATGCACGAACCATACAAGCTTATATTGCCTTTAAAGGGTTGATTAGGACCGTAGTAGAGTGATAGAATTGAAGCCTAGCTCGTGCGCATTGGGCATTGGAGCTAGACAAGACAGTATATTATATCAGTAAATTCTTACCCTGAACCCTTTATGAAAGAGAGCCGACTTTCACCATGATCTGTGGAGTTCCATGGAACAAACTGGATGCATGATCTCTCACTCAAATAGTCCATTACCTCTTCGATCAGGGCCCTATCGTCTTCTAGTAGAGTCCATGCAAACCAAGAAATTGAACAGGCAATCAGCAAAAGGGCGGAATTAATGCACATTAATACCGTAATATAATTAGACGTTGGTTGATGTGGTTACTAGTATTTATATATAGCCATTGTAACCAGCGATGATTTGAATTCATGAATTACATGCTGTTTCCCAAACTGAAAACAAGTTTGGAGTATTTTTGGAGAAAAAAGGAAGGTATTTGTTTCCGTATTCTCTGACACACAATGATCAAAAAAACAATAAAAAGGGTGAAATAAACTTGAACTTGAACTTGAACCCTTTATCAAGTAAGGACAAATGCACTCAAAACCAGCGTTCTTCAAAATCATGTTCAGAAAATAAGGAGCTAGAGTACCTGAATCGGAAGTAATGACATATGGAACGATAGCATTATCCCATATGTTAAAGCGCCCGCCGAGTCGAGCAGCTTTCCGTTTGCTCCTGTCCCTGTGTTCCCCGCTCCCATCAATGCGGCCCTCTCGTAACAAGCGCCTTTGCTCTTCAGTGAGTACCATGTCCCCTTCGAAGAGATCCATGTCGATGGGGTTGCGTTCGTCCATGGGATCTCCGTGATGTAGCGGGTCCCTCTCACGGACGGGGGGATGCACCACCACACTTCCGTTCTCCATCTCCTTGTACGGAGGCAGGTCCTGGAATAATGATGATGAGAAAATAATAACTCCAAAAACAACAACATTGACAACAGTACTACTACTACAATTACGATACTACTGCTTCTACTATACCACATAAACTACAATCACTACTACTACTATACTATACTACTCTTATACTACTATACTATACTACTACTATAATATACTTAATGTATTCAGGGGCGTCGATAAAGGGGGGGGGGTGGGATACGACACCCCCTGTCAAGATATTGTCTTTAAAATTGCGCTGCTGTCGGGAAAAAAAGAAAATGGGGAGGGGACTAAAAGAGGGAAAGGGAAAGAAAAGAAAGAGAAGAGAAGAGAGAAAAAGAAAAACGAAAAAGAGGAAGGAGAGGAAAGAAAAGAAAAGAAGGAATAGAAATAAAAGGAGAAAAGGAAAAAAGAAGAAAAAAGAGAAAAAGGAAACAAAAGAAACGGGGGATAAAAGAGAGGAGAGGGGGGGGGGGGGGGGTAAGACCCTGAGAGAAAAGAGAGAGAGGGGATGTTGGTGGAGTCGCCACGTCGAGGGGGACAGAAAAATATGCATAGATAATTATGTTGCTGTGTCGGGTCCGCTGTGTCGGTATTCTTTCTCGATCCTCATGCACTATATCAATGCAGAAGTTTAAAGTCGGTGAGATGTATTATGTCGGTCGGCCGGCAATTTTTTTTTCCCTATGAACTGTGACTTTTTATCAGACAAAGAAACATTTTAGGGTCGGTACAACGAATTGTCTTCTTTCTCTAATAATTTCATAAAAAATCAAAGCTTCTGCGCAAGCGCGGAAGAGGGGGAACCTCAATTAGACAAGGATTAAGAGTCGAAAACAGTACGACAAATCGTCTTCTTTCTCTCTAATTTAATGAAACATCAAAGCTTCCGCGCTTTGCGCGGAGGGGGGCAACTCAATTCAGACAAGGATTTAGAGTCGAAACAGTACAACAAATCGTTTTCTTTCTCTGATAATTAAATGAAACATCAAAGCTTCCGAGCTTCGCGCGGGAGAGGGGGGGGGGGGGGCAACTGGGGGCAACTGAATTCAGACAAGGATTAAGAGTAATAATTAAATGAAGCATCAAAGCTTCCGCGCTTCGCGCGAGTGGGGAGGGGGGAAGCTTTAGCACTTAAGCACAATATGGGCATTCCCTATGCGTGCCCTTACAGGTGCTGCCTCCAAATCTTGAGGTGCTAATATTAGCACTTGATTTTTTAGAGTGTAGGGGACAAATTTCATGCGTACCCCACCCTCTCACAGATCCACCCATACACTCGTCCCGCTGTAACCAGCTTGGGGCGAGTTTGGTCAATAACAAGATACATTTGCCTCATAAAATGCGAGGGAGCGTCGCGATCGAATGATATCATTTATATTTTAGATTGTTTTATTAAGCCACTGTACAGAAACTCCACACAGTATTTTCGTGCACCAGAAATCATTTCCATGGTCGCACTGCAAAAACAGAATGATGTCTTAGTACTTAGTTTTTGTCTTGATATATAATTATGGGGACGGGAAAAACTAATTACCTTCTCGATTTGAAGAGAGTCGCACGTGCCCCAACCTCCCTGATTCGGGGGCCTTGTGATAGGCGTATTATAAAGTACAAGAAACACTATTCTTTATTTTTCGAGGGGGCATAGCCACCGAGCGAGAAAATTTGAGTTTGAAAAGTTTAAACTATGCGTTATAGACCAAGAGGAAACAGACATCAAAAGCATTCCATGTACTTTTATTTTATTGTTCTATTTTCTTGCGAGGGGGTACCTTGAGAAAAATCAATTACTGCAAACAAAAAAATTGAGAATATTGCAATTTGAAACTTTTTTGAAACCTGGAGTCTATATGGGAGACGGGGTTTTTAGAGTATTAATATTATCTGCTTCTTTGTTTATATACGTCCTTGTGTATTAAGGGGAACGTAGTGACCAAATGAGAAAATTTAGATACATAGCAATGTTGAATATTTGCATTGCATTGGGGTTTGCTGATCGCTTTACTGCTATTGGGTCAAAAACTATATATCCCTTGGATAGATAGAATCATTTGCCTCCTTGCTTACAATAAAGTGTATAGAAATACAGGTTCTATTGAATTCCAATGGAGAGTGGTGACCTATAGCGAAGTGCTGAAAGTTTGCATATTATAGCACTGTAAACTATAACTCCATGATTATACATTGTCGTAATACAAAGTAATTACATGTACAATTTTCTTCTTGCTAGGGGTCCTTTGGGGCATAATCGATTCCGCCCAGCCCCCTCGCGGAAAAAAAAAATTGTTGGGTGCATCTACCCCTCTGCCTGCTTCCGGCGCCTCTTCTCAATGGTTTTGACCGAAATTTAGAGGGTTGAAGTAAGTTATTAAATATTGTTTAAAACAAGCGAATAAGTATAATATAACAAATAAGTGCACTATCTATACAAAGATAGTGCCATTACCAGCGCTTATAGAATAAGAAATATGATTATGTTTATGTGTACAAGTTCTGCCAATAAAATATTGTTGTCTTTTACTAACCATGAAAACACCCCAAAGAGACTAAATCAACAAGACTCTCCAATTTATTATTTCTTGCGAGGTTTATTATTGAAAAGATAAAAAGATGAAAAGGGGACGCACTGGTTCCCTTATTTGGTTCAGAGTCCAGACAAAGAAAGGTCACCTTTGACCTAATTTTTGTCTGCAAAACCTAATAATGTAGAAGTCGAATTCCACCTTGATTTATGGTAATATTTAGTTATCTTATTAATATTACAATTTGAATTATTATTATTATTATTATTGAAAATATATCTTCGGAATATACAATTGCAAAGCTTTGTCAAACTTACACATTAACAGTGAATTTTGTTATACATTAAATGAATACAGTTTGTCTTTCGCAGTGAAGTAGTGACACAAAGTTCAATAAAAATCTTTGAAAGTCATTTTACAAAAACGATTAATAATGATGGATGGAAACTACTGATATATGCTAAATATTAACTAGGAAAAGCGCTTTAATATGATGCAAAATCAAATAAACAATTAACAAAACAAAACAAAATAAGGCAAAAAGTGCAAATGAGGGTCTACTTACTATATATACGAATGGTCTGCCATCTGGTGCAAGGTCCACTTCACTGTCCTCTGCATCGAGGAAATCATCACCGAGATTATCATGGGCGTCAAAGCGATCGACCGGACTGCATGATGCGGTGACAAGAAAGAATAGGAGAATACTAATGGAGTAAACGCCTCTCATTTTTGGTCCACTTTTATTGACCACTGTTTTACCCCCAAATTTCTAAGACTGCTTGACTGCAAAGTTCAGATGGCGGCTACTTTTGCAAAAACTTTTTAAAAGTACCAAAATGTGGATGCTGACAAGTTTTACAACTGACAGTGTGCTTAATTTTGAAAACTTTTCAGAGCTTCTTTGATGGCAAGTTCACGAGCTATATTAACTTTGTCGGAGCCATTGTATTTATGCATTTATCGGCAAGGTGGGATATGCTCCAGTGCATAATGATGATCAGCATTTTTGTTGTGGGTCTATTAAATCAGGGGTTACGAATCAAGGTTAAGGTGTACGGTGTCGTGTCGTCATGCCGTGAACTCGGACAGTGGTCAGCGTCCATAAAGGCTAACAGAGTTTAGAGGAAACAATGCTTTCTTTATATATACCCCGGCCCCCCACTCAGTGTTATTTAGGGTACGCATATGCTCGTACCCTATTTTTGAAAGCACCCCCTATCTGAGGAGTGCCAACATTTCCGAACCCCCCTTTCGCGGGCTTTTCGCGGGCTTTTCCTGCCTTGGAGACCCCCCTAAATCAGGAAAAATGCTCATTTTACCCCCCTAAATTCGGAATAATTTCTCAGGTGTCCAAAGAGATGAGAGAAAAAAAGAAAAACCCCCTTTTTAAAGAAATCTCCGGGTGAAAAGTCAAATACACCCCTTTTTTTACAATTCTCGGGCCGGACTTTGTCGCACGAAAAGTACCCCTTTACCGGACATTTTGGCAACACGCATGCGGTCATTCCGACCTTTGAGTGGGGGGGCCGGGATATATACATTCATTGGCTGGATGCTGATGGTGATTTTTGGCGTAATTTCCACTATTAAAATATGAGTTGACGCCCCGTTTTTGTTCTACGTCATTGGGCTGTACATATGTGTATCGATGAAACTTGATGGGAACCGAGATTTATAACACGTCGTAAGGTCACCATCCAAAAGACGTGCACTTGACTCCGTTTCGAATCGGGGTCCGTCTGAGTTTGGAGGCGAAGACAGAGAGCTTGACCATGCTGGCCGAGTATAAGTACCGATAGGCCAACTCACATTCTCCCTTTTTGTTGTTGTTGTTGTTAGTGGTGGTAGTGGTGGTGGTGTCGGTGTTGTGAATCTAAACCCCTTTTGATTTGTAGTCATGTAAAGAGTATGAAGATATGGCAAGTATGAATATCATCGGTTTAATAAACCTGATTAAAGAAAGAAGTCAAAGGGCGATCCAACCTTTGTGATAAGTTCATTGGTATGAAAGCAGAACATAAGAGAAACGGCTTGGCGAAATTCTGAAATAAATCGGACAAATAATAAGAGTTATGAATATTTTTGAATCATGACATCACTAAATTTAATCGAATATCAAATTGGCATGCATGTTGGGCAGTGGATTGTAACGTAGTCAATGACAACTCCCCCGTTTGTCGTGTACACAAATATCATTAGTTTAGGTTTTTCTTTTAAGTGCCTTCTCCCTTGCGGCACTGCTTCAAATATATTATGGATAGCATATAATTGGAGTTCTTTCCCAAAGAAAAGACCCTCCTGAGTTATACGATTGGAAAAAAAAGACATTTTAGTCATGTTATGTTGAATTAAAATGAGAAATTTGTCCGCAACTATACGTCATGGTGACATTATTAAACCTATTCAGCCATTATGAAATGCTCATACGTATAGAGAGTACTACTTTCACACAACAAAACTTAACTTTGTTATGTGTTATCCGATTTCGTTTAAATTTTCACAAATAGGTCTACAATCAATACACTCTTGTGCGTTTCCTTTTAGCTATCTCCATTTTATCTGGAACAACACCATTTAAGATTGACAAGTTAAGAATATGAATTAACCCTAATAAGGCCGGGGTGGGCTGATTGTTCGGTAACAGACGTTAATTTCATTGACAATAATATTTTTTAACAGTTCTGTTGTTAACACTGTCAAACCCAGGAATTTGATTTTTTTCAATATTATTAACGATTTCAATTGTTTCATTCTTCATGCATTCATTCATTTCTCCCTTCATTCAAACTGTCCATCTGGTTACCTTTTTTTGATTTTGTATGTGTGAGTGTGGGTGTGGGTGTGTGGGTGTGTGTGTGTGTGCGCGCGTGTGCGTGTGTGAGTGTGGGTGTGGGTGCGTGGGTGTGTGTGTGTGTGTGCGTGCGCGCGTGTGTGTGTATAATTTGTTAACGTTTTTGCAGACGTGTATCACTCAGGTATGACCGACCTTTAACGTCACCATCCGAAAGACGTGATTCAATCTCGAACCTGGGTCTGCCGAGCCAGTTTGTAGGCGAAGACAGAGAGCGGACCGTGCCATGGACATACCACCAGACCAACTTACATCTTCCTAGGCTTAGTTTGTGAAGATCACTAAAAGACTCGAGGGCATTTGGTATAAATCGTGCTAAATTTGGACCGATGGTAGAAAACTAATCATTAAAATGATTCAGCTTTGCGTTGTTTATCTTCGACAAAGGTCTCACGATGCTTAACTTTCAAAATATTATTTGAACTCGAAGAGGTATCAATTACTTCTTTACAATTCTCCAAGTTCCTTTTTATGTCTGACTGGCAAGAAATAAATTGGGTTAACCAATACGCTTCCCTTCTTTTTGATTTTGAACAAAAATCTTCAAGGTATTTATATAGTTCGTATATTGAATTCGGGTTTAGTTTGTTCGATCTGATTTGGACATAAACAAATCTTCCTGTTGAGCGGCGAGTGACCCAGGACATGTATACGGGTTGTTCTTTTGTCATACGAACGTGTGCGTGTTATTCTCAGATGACAACATAAGTTGTTCTAGTTGGTTTTGTTATAAATAAAAGGATCAACGAGAACGAGTTCATAGTATTAAAAACATCCGTAATAAACGCCCAAGAATCCTATTGCAAGAGATCAGCGTTGAAAGTCGCCCATTAAACTGCGTGACTTTCACGGATGGACAATATAGCTTGCATTTCAATGAGAAAATCAACAGAATTAGATTGCGATTGCCTGTATATACTACTCACCTATACACGTACGCCAATCCCATTTTGTAATATAGCTTCGTACTTATTTCAATTTCCTAACAATTAAACAAGTTGACGCCTTAATTTATTTTTCTATTTTTTTTTGCCAATATTTTTAAATTATTTATTCACTTGTTCCATAGCACGAGGACTGCAAATATCAAAACATTTTTTAAAATTTGTTTTCCTTTTATTTATCAATATCTTTGTACGCATCATAAATCTCATTAATGTTTGTTTTTCAAAAACATTCAAGCGTTAGGGCATGTTTGAATAGTTAGCCATCAAAATACATCCTATTATGCATTTTAAAAATGAGGAAACTAACATGGGAGCCTTGTCATCAAGCGACCTTTTTCACTCATTATATTAGCTCCTTGCATTTTTCTGTTTTGGTTTTGTCTTTAGTCACAATTTCATTTGGAAAAATAAATTAATGTTTATTCGAGGTATTACCCCACAACATATCGCCGTACAAAACTAAATTTTAGAATAGAAGTTGCTATTTTTGATTCCGGTAAATTGTTGATTTACCTTACAGTTTTTTCCTTCTTCAATCTAGGCTTTGAGTCATCGTTTTAGCTTTCTTGCCGGGTAGATTTCGATCGTAGGCCTATGTGCTCTCATAAAACCTGAATTTGTTCGAATTAAATGTAACCCAAAGTTTTATCCCCCCAAAATTGCGCCGTATGTGAAACAAAATTCGTCGATTTTAGATTAAGTACTTGTTTTGCTCTTTAAAAAATTGGAATTTCGTTCAGGTTGGCTCTTCATTTAAATCCCAAGATTATTCAAACACTTTATATTTCATAAAAGATAGTTATAGGGTTACGGTTTTCAGGGTAAAAGTTCCAATTAGAATTTAGGTCAAGGTACAACTACTATACAGTGCTTTGTCCCGTGTTGTAAGTTGCCATTGAAATAATTGCGGTATTTATTTATCTATATAGGTATTGAAAGAATTGTGGTTTTATATTCAGCGAAGCATTCTTGAAAGTGACCTTTCAGCCACCATTGGCCAGTTGAGGATGACCAACCGTATATTGTAGCTTTGTTTGTTTGAGTTACGCCTCCTAATTAATTGTCATCAGCATCATGATCAGCAGCAGCATCATCATTATCATCAGGATTATCACCATCACCATCCTCCTCATCACCATAGTTGTAATAAAGAAAATAACATATACTTGCCTCGATCGAATATTAGGGACTTTTAGGTTTGCACGACGAGAACGTGGACTGCTCGTGTGACATCCTTTAAGGCAATGTGACGTCACTGTCAGTCCCTTAAAAGGACGTCACAGTTCACGTTCTCGTCGTGCAAATCTAAAAGTCCCTATTATGTCACTGAAAACCTACAGGACGTATCACTGATATAATTATTGTTTGTTGACCAACAATGGGCGTATAGCTACTACGCTCTTAATAACTTAGATTTTAAATCTTTTTTAAGAATGGTTAACGCTTTAAACATGCTGAATCCAACACTATAAAAGTGTAATGTTTAATCCAGCATGTTAAAGGTGTAACTCTGAAATTTTGAAAAGTACTCACTTCTCGGTCCCTTCAGAGAGTGATGGGCAGTGTAGGGGCATTGAGGACCCCCTCCCCACAATCGAATGGGGGGGGGGGGGGTGGGAAGCAGGGGAAGGGTAATGCACATCATAATTATCATTATTTCAGAAATTTGCTTTGAGCTTAATTTTGTCAAAATAATAAGATTAGAGATTAAGGTACGGCCATCTCACCTTCATGAACAGTCTACAGACATTCCGGACTTTGCTCTGTATAGCTTGTTCTCTCATCGTTCCTTTATGATATGAATTCGAATTCAAATTCAAATAATCCTTGAAATCAAACCCTGACCTATAGGAATTTCCTTTTTTAAAGACAAAGTAAATAAACCAGAAAAGAAAAGAATATAAAGAGGTATGCTAAGTGAGAAATCTCAACAAAACAAAGTCAAATTGTTTGTCAAATAACTGGTGCATATCGCGTTACACTCGACAAACTTTTAGTGGTATCGCTGTTATAAAAGACACAACAAAACACAATAGAGATAAATAGTGAATAGAGATATACAAACAGAAAGCACTGTTGCTAACTAATTCAAAGCAGATCACTGGCGTACTGATGGGGGGGGGGGGCCTTTGACCCCCGAAATAAAATTCAACTTCTTACTTTTTATCCGATACCAGTGATTTACAAATGTTCCTGAAATTACATGATTTTCCAGGTTTTCTTCTCCTCATTTCTGCCCATTATGCCAGAGGCGTACGCAAGGGGGGGGGGGATGGGTTTGGGGTTAAACTCCCCTCAATTAAAAAAAGAAAGAAAAAAGTGCACACTACACCCCCCTACCGATCGAAATATTAGTCAACGTTGTCTCAATCACTCTATCCCTCACTGTTCATTTCTATCTTAATTTTGCTAATTTCCGTATCTATATTATTAAATATAGCTAGAGTTAGCTTTAGTTATTTTGACAAATGTGCAACCCCACACCTTCTCCTACAAAAACGAAAAAACAACAACACATTAATAAATAGAAAAGTTGCAGACATGGAACGACCAGCACAGTAGATGCTTAAAATTGATGGCAAAAGCTAAACATTGAATGAGAGGGCGCTATACCACTGCAAGAGAAAATGACGGGAAAAAAAGATGTTTCGGAATGCCAGAAAAAATGAGAGGCCTTTAGTTTGGATACAACAATTATAACACATATATATAACAAATGATTTAAATCTTTTGTTTGATTCAAAAGTTATTCTCTATTTAAAACAAGTACACAAATACATGTATCCACTTTTGGACAGACATTTTTTACAGCCATTCTCCCATCCTATAGTCGCCTGAAATAAGACTCACAAATCAACATGACAATTTAGTATTTGTCGCCCGGCCTCGGTTTAACGTTTTTAGCGAGTAACTTATGTCTCTATAACATTAATCTAAGGTACAAGTCAGTTGTACCACAAAAAGACATTGAGTTCTAATGAAATGTCTTCGACATCGGCTGTTTGAAGGGTCGTCATCCGAGTAACAGTTTGGGAAAGAAATTCGGGAAAGAAGTTTACCGTATACACTCTAAAAAGTAATGTCTACAAATCCAAGAATGTTTTTACTCACACATGCATATTATGCACCTGCACAACAAGAACAAACATTTAAAATGTTGAATAACAGGATATGTGAAATTCTCCACACACACACACACACGCACACACACACACACACACACACACACAATCAGTGCGTTTATCTTCATCACCTTAAAGCAGTATTTAATGTTTGGAAGAAGAAGTTGGGAAATTTTAACCATGGTTGTGTAAACTCTTAAACATTGTTTTAGAATAAAGAGAGAGGTCGGGGAACAAGGAACAAGGATTCGAGGGAGGGGCAACGGCATCTAAAATATGCAAGTACCTGTAGTACATGGTATGCCCGCCCCCGCCCCCACTCCAGGGTCGGAATGACCGCATGCGTGTTACCAACATGTCCGGTAAAGGGGTACTTTTCACACACCAAAGTCCGGCTCGTACATACACAAAATTGACTTTACACACCGGACTTAGGGGGTGTTTTTAAAAGGAGGGAACACGCATATGCGTACCCTAAATAACACTGAGTGGGGGGGGGGGGGGGGCGGGGGGGGGGGGGGGGGCGACGGGATGGTATGTGAGTTCGTCGAAAGAGATATAGAATGTGTTAATCCTTGTTCGTGCGTATACCACGGGAGTTGCCACTACCCCCCCCCCACACACACACACACATTAGAGGGGCGCCTCATTTCCCGCTACGAATTCGCATTTAAAAATATAATGATAATAATAACATCAATAATACAACTACCACTACTACTACCATTACTACTACACAAACACAACCGCAACTATCTACTACTACTACTACTACTACTACTACTACTACTACTTCTACTACTACTACTACTACTACTACTACTACTACTACTAACTTCTTCTTCTTCTATTACTACTACTACTACTTCTACTACTACTACTTCTACAAACTCTTCTTCTTCTTCTTCTTCTTCTTCTTCTTCTTCTTTTACTTCACCTTCTTTTTTAATTACTACTACTAATAATTGGATATACTTGGATTATATAAAGCAAACCATATCGTAAAAGAGATACATTTCTGATATGTATTGCAGGGATCAAGAAAGTTGGGAATTAACAATTAAGAAACTCGTTTATGACCGCAGAGAGAGAGAGAGAGAGAGCAGAGAGATGTTTTGTTCGTTACATCGTTACACAATCTTTTATTGATACTTTGGTACTATGGTAATACGAAATTGTCTTTATTCAAAGGCATAACTGAAATAGCGACACATTTCATTATTTCATCTTCAAGATACAGGGTTTCGTTTTTTTGGTCTCTCATAGACTAAAAAATGTACAATGTATTTAACTACATCTACAGATAACGAGTAGAAAAGACCAGGCGCGGATACATGGGGCATGGGGGTGGGGGGCGACCCTCCTTCAGGTAAATAAAGTGTTTCTTCTCTACCCCCCCCGCTTATCTACCGGATGGATGATTCGCTGCAAAATATTTCTAACGAATTGGGCAAAGAAAAAAAATAGTGCTCTTACCCCCCCCCCCAGCTCTTTACCGGCTGGCTGTGTCGCCGCCAAGTATTTCCTCAAAAATTGGACCCCCAAAATAAAAAGAGCTCTTTATACCCCCCTGCTTATTCCCCGGCTGGCCGATTCGCCGCATAATTTTTTCTCACGAATCCCCCCCCCCTTCCTGCCGCCGGCTGGACCTGCCACTGGACAAGGTTACCCATGAAGCACAGCTTGTAAATTGGGTCACCTTTAAACTACGTTAAAAACAAATAAAATCAATCAAGAGGAAACACACGCACACACTCTTTTTTGTTTATCCTTAATTTTTAATTTTATTTCATTCTTCAAAAAACAAATTTGTATTTTCTTCATCATACTAGCACATAAAATAACAATATACATGTATAATACAAAATTCTGGATACCAAACACTCCTCCCATAAAATGTCTACAAAGTTTTTTTTTTTTTTTTTTTTTTATTTTTATTTTTTTTACTATTGTGCGTGCAAATATCAAATATTTGTGAGACTCGCTGCGAGGCCGATCTATAAATTCATTTCGGGCCTATTGATGTATTGTCAGTTTCATCTTCAAAGTCTTTTATTGATACTTTGGTACACATCATAATAATATAAATCAGGCTAGGTCATTCCAGGCTAATTAGGTTCTTTTGGGTTTAGTCCCGCCCCCCCCCCTCACTCAAGAAGGGTCGGGAGGACCGCAGTCGTGTTCCCAAAATCTAATCCTTAGCCTTTAATACATCTTTCGGATGTACGCTTAAAAAATTGAAGGTTCATTTTTTTCATCCAAGTAGTGAACAATAATTCTGTAGTGAATTGAACAATAAACCTGCGTTGCATTTGAGAACAGTATGGCGCAACCGATGCATAATCCGGCAAATTCTCAAAGCGGTGATAATGATGAAAAAAGGGGAAATGGGGAGAAAGTCTACCTCCGACGTCAACTAACCGTCATCGACGGCATCGCCTTGACGGTCGGGATCATCATCGGTTCGGGAATCTTTATATCACCGGCGGGAATCCTTCGCTATACCGGCTCCATCGGATGGTCTCTCATTATGTGGGTATTCTGCGGGTTGCTCTCGACGCTTGGCGCCTTGAGCTATGCGGAGCTGGCCACCTCGTTTCCCGTCTCCGGAGGGGACTACTCCTACCTGCTGATGTCCTTTGGTCCCATTCCTGCGTTTCTGAGGATGTATACGCAGATCGTGGCCTCATTCAGTGGCAGCAACACTGTGTTAGCATTAGCTGCATCTTATTACATTGTCCTGCCTTTCTTTCCAGATTGTGAAGTATCCTACAAGATCACAACCCTCATGGCTGCCAGCCTCTTATGTAAGTAGGCCTACATAGCTTTAACGAATTCTGTCCACGAGTAATTTATGTTTGCTGGACATACGAGCCACACCGACAACCAGAAGCCAACTCTGGAAAAAACTGAAAATTTACGGGTAACGGAAATCATTTTCCATAAGAAAATAAAGCTTGTCCCAGTTAATGATTGCACTTCTTCCCGACTTCCCACAGGGAAGCACAATAGGTCCTTTTTCTCTTTATCGGAATATTACATCCATACTTATACGAACAAGCAGCATATTTGATTAAGGCTCGCAAAATGTAAGTAATAATATTTATGTGCTGCATCAACAACAAATATTTTCTGGCTGGAGTGTACTTCTCCTTCTGTTTCTATCCATCGGACTATCTTCTATATTTTCGATGTTGGTATGGAGATATGATGATGAAAACAAAATGGTTTCATTTACCCAGTGTATCATCATCAGGTATATTGATCTTCCCAGTAGGGATCATGCAATTATTATTATCCCAGCATTGCCAGGTTCCAAAATAATACACCGGGGTTGAGACGGTTTATTGTGTGTGGTGAAGTGTGGTGTCTAACGTAATTGTATGTATAAGCACTGGTGAGCAAGCCAAGATCGAACCCTATGATCGAACCCCACTCATGGAAGTGCGTGTGAAAATCAAGGGCCTTAACCTATAATTATATCACAGTGCTCTCACTTATATGGTAATCATGGGTCACTTATAATCTACTTTGATAACTATGATGACAAGTATTTTCTCCAAAGGTTTGACTTCAATCGTCAACTGTTTTAGTATCCCCCTGACTCGTGGTCTGAATATTCTGCTGACGATTTGTAAGGTCCTTAGACTCATCGTCATCATTGGCTTCGGGGTCGCAGAAATAGCCAAAGGTATGACACCCGGGTCAAACTTAAACCCTTTCGCGAAAACCCTTCCACATTTTTAGGTTTGACTCCTTTTTTTTTTAAATTCAGAGCCCTAAAAAATAGGCCAGATTAATAAGTAGAAAGAACAAAACTACTGGGGGTCTCGGTCAAATATATATACTGTAAGCATGCGTAACCAAGAAAACGCGTGTAAAGGGGTGTTTTTGGAGATTGGACGGGGTCTGTCGTTGGCGCATTAAGGGGTTCAAAAACGTCAATTTTTGGCCACTTTCATGAAAAAGGGTACCTTTTTCAAAATGGTTCAAAATTCTGCTGTACGCACCGGTATACTCGTTAAGGGGTACTTGCCCTCAGAGCCAGACCTTGGAAGAAGAAAAAAGGGTAATAATTGCCCTTTGGCGAGGCTACCGGCCGCCGTCTGCTTCCACCCGCCAAAGGACTTCAAAGAAAGGATTTATGATGTGTGAAGTGTGTACAGGTTGATATTATTGCTTCCCTATTGAAATAAATGGGGGGATATATCCCCCCCCCCAATATTTCAGGTGGGGGGATGGCCTGTACAATCATCCCCCCAATAATTCACCATCAAAAAAAAAAAAAAAAATGAAGAGAAAAATTAAGGATGAGAGCCCGATGAGAGTAGTTAATGGTTATTACTCGCAATATGACCATCAATATACACATTTTGCTATCTCATTTTCATAATACATACATATATACGAAGTAAATAAGACAACCGTATATAAGACAAGAATAAATTGAATTCTCGCTCATACGGCTTCATCAGGAATTGATGAATTTATTAAATTTGTTTAATCAACAGCATCATAGAAATGCAGTGCGCCAAATGCAAAGACGCAGTGTCGAAAAGCAACGAGCTAAATGTTAAGCGCGAAGCGCAAAAATAGCAATCTGCAATGCACATCTGACAATCCTGGACAGTGTAAACATAGATGAACTCTGTGACGATTTCGTGATGAGATCGGAGACAAGGAGAAAGATTTTCGGACATTAGTATGACTTATAAAATAGTTCTCTAGTTGTTATGTTGTTTCCGTTCACCCTTTTTAAAATTCACGTCATTGTATCTTTATTTTTATTTTTTTCTCACTCATTTTATTTCCTGATATTTCCTAAAAGATTTTTCATTTTTGAAAAAAGATTATTATGTCACAACTTATTTGTAACACAAATTATTTTCAGTGGGGAAACTGAATTCAGACAAGGATTAATATAGAGAACAGTACAACGAATCGTCTTCTTTCTCTAATAATTCAGTGAAAAGGGCAAAGCTGTTAGGGGGCAACTGAATTCAGACGTGGATTAAGCGTAAAAATCAAATAAAACGTCTAAGTACACGATACAACGAAGCGTCTTCTTTTACGAATAATTTAATGAAACGTGAAAGCTTCCGCGCTAAGCGCGGAATGGGCGAAAATGAATACAGACAAGGATTAAGAGTAATAGTTTATTGAAACGTTAAAGCTTCCGCGCTTCGCGCGGTTGGGGGGAAACTGAGTTCATGAAGGACACGATACGACAAATCGTCTTCTTTCACTAATGTGAAAGCTTCCGCGCTTCGCGCAGGAATGGGCGAAAATGAATTCAGACAAGGATTAAGAGTCGAGAATGGTACATAGGATCGTCTTCTTTCTTTAATCATCTAATGAAACATCAGAGCTTCCGCGCTACGCGCGGGGAAGGGGGAATTTGATTCAAACATTAAGGATAAAGAGTCGAGAATGGTACATCGAATCGTCTTCTTTCTTTAATAATCTGATGAAACGTCAGAGCTTCCGCGCTACGCGCGGTGGAAGCGGAACTTGATTCAAACAAGGATTAAGAGTCGAGAACGGTCCAACGAATCGTCTCCTTTCTCTTATAATTTAGTGAAACTGAATTCATGAAGGACACGATACAACAAATCGTCTTCTTTCTCTAATGTGAAAGCTTCCGCGCTTCGCGCAGGAATGGTCGAAAATGAATTCAGACAAGGATTAAGAGACGAGAATGGTACATAGGATCGTCTTCTTTCTTTAATAATCTAATGAAACGTGAGAAGGGGAAGGGGAACTTGATTCAAACATTAAGGATTGAGAGTCGAAAATGGTACATCGAATCGTCTCTTTTCTTTAATAATCTGATGTAACGTCAGAGCTTCCGCGCTATCCGCGGAGGAAGGGGAACTTGATTCAAGCAAGGATTAAGAGTTGAGAATGGTACATCGAATCGTCTTCTGTCTTTAATAATCTAATGAAACGTCAGAGCTTCCGCGCTACGCGGGGGGGAACTCCCCCTCCCTGCAAGCAACCCCCTAGAAACCGCGCTTCGCGTGCTCACTACCGCCCCCTTAAATGAAATCCTGGCTACGCGCTTGGGAGGGGTGCAACTTGCCACACGCTTCTACCTCTTGATTGCTTTTTTCATTGCCGAAAATATTTTGGCACTTATCATCCCCCCAACCACGGATACAAATCGACACCCTTGATACATTGTCAACCACTTAAATGGTAATCTGTATCGCACTTCAAAATGTTCAAGGGGTTACAATATTACAGTACTTGTTTAGGAGTACCCGTTTTTGAAATACTCGTTTAGGGTGAGAATTCGGTAAAAAATACGCGAAATTCCTATTTAGGGTTAATTTTTGCTTCAGAAGAAATCCTCGTTTGCATGATTGTGGCTGTGGCCTGACTCGGGACCGATCGGGTATAATACGACTACGGACGACGCGACCGCAGTATTTATGTGCGTGCACCATACGCAAAACCGAAGCGTGAGGAGAACTTCGGTCTGTTTCGCGAACGCTATAGCGCGCGTTGACCGATAATCAAGTTCATTCGCTTACGTGCAGTTGTCCAAAAGAAGTCGCAGATGGCGTTATTTGCCATGCTACACCCCCTTTAAAATCTTCAAAATTGCAACACGTTGAGAGATTCAAAATCATTGTTCAAAATCAAATCAAAATTCAAAATCAAAATTTCGATCAAAATTTTCATTTAAAAAACTTTTTGACAAGATTCTCGCCCATTTATAGGCCTATTGCTTTCAAATGAATTATATTTGATTTTTTTAATGTAGCAATAAACGAAAAAGTTATTTTTGAACCAATATGAACACCAAGTCTGACCAAATTAGCCCTAAAATCAAATTTAGTCCTGAGAGGGTTAAAAGGAGGATTGAAATCTTGGTAAAGACAAAAGTGATTTGTGATATAAGTTCCAATAATGCCCACGTGGAAAGTTAGTAATTCCCATTTATTGCTATAGATCTTATACACATATTCCGAAGAGGACTAGAAATTGCTTACAACTTTCGACCAAATCCTGATGCAACATTATTGAGTATAATTATAGTCCCAAGTACTTTAGCTAAAGTTCTTACGTTGTCTTGTTTCAGTGGTTTTCAGCAATACGAGATTCAGCTAGTATTGTGTTGCATCATTTTAGAGGTCAATTTAGTTGGTATACATGAACAATATATAACATATACAATGATCACTGTACTCAGTCTTGCAACGGCTTAGGAATAAGGGGTCAAGCTCGCTATCTATAAGGACCTCTATTCATAAGGACCGCCATTCATAAAGACCGCCATTCATAAGGACCGCCATTCATAAGGACCGCTATCCATAACGCGTGGAAAAGAAAAACTTAAAAAAAAAGATTAAGTACGCAAAATAATCTCAAGGTCGCCCCCCTGCCCCACACAGTTCATCAGCCATCATGGTGCAGTCTTTCAGTCTCCCGTGGATAACCCAACGAAAAAGAAAAACTTTAAAAAAAAGATTAAGTACGCAAAATAATCTCAAGGCCATTCCCCCTAACCTGTCACACACAGTTCATCAGCCATCATGGTGCAGTCGTTCAGTCTCCCGTGGATAACCCAATGGAAAAGAAAAACTTTAAAAAAAGATTAAGTACGCAAAATAATCTCAAGGTCGTCCCCCCCCCCCTTCATGCCCCACACAGTTCATCAGCCATCATGGTGCAGTCGGCCAGTCTCACCTGGAAAAACTCAATGGAAATGAAAACTTGAAAAAAGATTAAGTACGCAAGGTAATCTCAACGCAAAAGTATCTCAAGGCCGTCCCCCCTGCCCCACACAGTTCATCAGACCATCAGACC